GTACTCCTAGCTCTTCCATAGCCTTACCTTGCTGCTGTGCGCCTCAGTTTCCACTTCTGTAAAATGGGTACAATACATTCCTCACCTCAGAGGGAAACCCTGAGGTTAAATTCACTAACATCTATAAAGTTCTTTGAAATCCGTATCCAGGGGGAGCAACAGAAGGATAAAGGACTTGCTGGTCCAAGAGCCCCTCCCTCCCTTAGCATGGAGAGAAAAGAACCCATCATCACAGATATATACAAACAAATAGCACACTCTCCTGCCTGTGAGTAGCATTGGGGTTTTATAGGGACAGCCTACGTGATGGCATAGGGTGCAATCAAGGGTTTATTGGCAGGAGTTTGGGACAACGTTAGTCACGAGCCGTGAAGCTGTGAATTAGGCAAGTCACCTGACAGGGTGTCTATAAACCCTTTGTCCTGCTTCACAGCAGCAGGGATTTGTTTTGTGTCACATTAGAGAGAAAAGTTATGAGGATTTTTGAGTTTTAAAAAAACTTTTGTCGTTCCTAGTTTTCCATCTCCTTCCGCTCATAAGGTCAAATCACCTCCGTAACATGTACAGGCCCTGGAGCTACAGAAACACGAGGACACATGTTTAAACAGACTTCTCAACGTGGGAAGCTATTTTAGGTGGGCTGAATGTTTTTGAGTGTGAGGTCTGCTATTGAGCTTTGCAAGTTACAAATAACACCCCCTCCTCCAGGAAGCCCCTTTTTCCATAAGGCTAGAGCAGATGGTTTGATCATATCAGCCTTTAAAAGGCACTGGTCCAGCACTGAACTGGGGGGTGGGGGGAAGTTTCAATATTTGGTGGGGAAGGAAACTTTCCTGTGGTATTATCAGAAGTGCAGTTATCTGAAATAGGACCAGGATGTCAGAAGCAGCACTAGCAGAGACGGATCAGACGGCAGGTGAGCCGGCAAAACAAACAGAACTTATCTCATGGCTGCAGAAATATTGTACAAGCATTTGTCCCGTAAATATCATTATCACGGGGAGACATAATAACCACACATACACACCTTCCACCTCTTAATTCAGCCTTGAGTAAATTTGATCATCTAATTTTATCAAACAGCCAGGAACCAAATCATTTGAACTAACAGTCACACCACTCCCACTCTTCACCTTGATCACTTTTGAACAGCATTGTTGGATCGGTCAGTTACTACCAGGCGTTTCATTACTCAGGGGCCAATGTACTGCATGAGACAGAACGAAGAAAAGATACGCAGGGAGCTTCATGTTAGTAAAAACCCCACCTGCGCACTGGGCTATTCATGCTGTTATTAGCAGTCTTGTCTGCGATGAAGTTGTGCTCTGCACCCTAGTGGATAAAAAGAGCAGCTGCTTATTTCAATGAAACCAGAGGAACAGGTGAAACTGACGGAGACCCACAGTACTGTACTAGCTGTTAAGGGAACCCCCACATAGAACATGAAACACACAGCAATAAAGAGATTATTTATTAGTTCAGACAAGCAGCTCTGCCCCGCTGTGGATATACGGCTAGATTGTGTCGAGGGTTTCTGGGGATAAATGGATCTGAAGGCCAGAAGGGACCATTCCAACCATCTCATGCGGCCACCGACAGAACACAGGTCAGAGAATTTCACCCGGTGATTCCTGCATCCAGCCCACAACTTCTGGCTGAGGTAGAGTGAGTTTTTCAGAAAGTCATTCAGCTCTGGATTTAAAGACGCCACACGATGGAGAATCCACCATATGCCCTAGATAAGTTGTTCCAAGGACTAATTACCCTCACGGTTAAAAATAGGCTCCTTTTACAGGCCCCCATGTGGTAAGAAGCTCTGGGTGGCATAGGCGTCCATCAGCGTAATGGCCCTTGCAAGGTTGGGTCCATACTTGGTTAGGCGGCCTGGTGAGGTCGTCAGAGCCTTGGAAATGTTCGGGGGGTAAAGGGTAGGCGATTTTGGGGGCCCCCTAGCCTTACTCATCTTTGGAGCTCTCCAGTCCTCTTTCTGATCTGCTGCTGTAATCACACGCATGGTGACTTTAGGAGGCCCTGCAAAGTGAGTTCAAAGGAGAAAGGACGAGAGAAGCTCACGCACTTTCATAGAATTAAATCTCATTAGCAAAGGGCTTTGCAAACTGAAGCAACAAACAAATTCTTCTGTTGCAATTGGGCTTTTATTAAAACACTTTATTTAACATTTGAAATGCCAACGGCATGAGAGAAGGTCAAGCTCTTCTTTGGTTCTTTTGGAAAGGGCAAAGCCATCCCGCACATGGGAACACAGGGTTTATAGGCTGCATTCAAGAGCCCAGGGAGAGACAAATAAAAATCGTTTGGTCAAGATGAGAAAATATAAAATCAACATCCTGGGAAGTTGAAATCCCAGGATTCCATGTATCCATGGCCTGGGGGTGCTCTCCAGTGCAGTGCCTGGTTTAATGGGGAGATAAACGTCCATTCTTATAACAACGAAAGAGACCTGCCAACAATGACAGACCAAAATTAACTGCAGCTTTGACCCTTTTGAAACAAAAGCTGAGCTGCACTATGTACAATCACACCGCTTGATCTGAGAGCGTGCAGTCATTTCACCACCAGTTCCCAGTGCAAGACAGGCTCAGGTCACAAGGGAACTGACTTCTGGCAGTCTTGGATCTGGGCCCCAGTGGAATTTTGCTCACATTGCATCATGGCACCATCAGACAATTTGACACAAAGGTGTCCCTGTTGCTCAGCTGAGACCTCAGGACTAGAATAGCAGGTCAGGACTGAGAGGGGGGCTTCATTTTAGGGATGAGATGCATTGGTAGGGAAGCCCCAGCTTGGCAGATCAGGGGAGGGCTGCAGTTCAGGGTGGAGGTATGTTAAGAGATCTGCGTGAGATCTCAGATTTGACCAGCAGGGGGTGCTGCTGGTCACAGGAGAGGTAAAGCCGTGTGGTGGCCCAGGACTGGAAAGCTGTAGGCCTGCACTGAGGTGTGCTAGCAGAGCTCTGCAGAGCAAGCTTGCTCAGTTCCTGGCTCAGGTTTGAGAGAAGCTTTCATTGGCCTTATACACAAACCTCCTTGGAAACCACCCCCAGAACATGGAATCCATGGAGAGTTGGTCAGCGGGCCACTTCCCCAGCAATGCCAGAACCTCCTTAGTCCTGAACAGAACACCATTTCTAAGGGCACCCTCACATCGGCCCTCTCTCCCGTTGGGACCCAACTCCCCCTCCCCTGCCGCCCGCCCGAATCTGTGAATGCAGAGAGCCAAAACGCAGCCAAGCAGCAATTATTCTGAACAGCAAGTGCTAGGCAGAGCAAACCCTGCTTCTCCGGGCCCTGCTGAGCTCTGACTGCACCTCTCTAATTTTACGAGGTGTTTGGCTACTTAAACACCTCTTGCCCACGTCCTGGCAGTAAACAGTTGAAAGGTGTGTGAGGAGCTAGGAAAACACCTGGCTTTCTTCCCCGCAGCGCGCGGCTGTGGGAGGAGGGGCCCTTCACCGCTCACAAAGGCACTGTTCTAATGCTGCCATGCCATAACGGTTGGCCAGCTCCTTGCCCTGCTGTAAGACCATCACCTCTCTGCATTGCTGGCTGGCTCTGGCCAGCTCCAGCAACACGCCCTGCAATGCCGTAAGGAGATCAAAGTCCACTGAGACCGGAGCAGCTTGGCCCAATAACAGCAAGAGGTCGTCTAGCCAACGTGACCGGAGGACCGTTTGGGGCAGCCAGGGAAAGAGCGGCACGCAGCTGGCAAAGGCCTGCATCCCCAGGAACCACAGCTCACTGAGGTCCGCCCAGGCCGCCTCATAGGCTGGTGACACAGCCAGGACCAAGCACTGGCTGGTGGGATCTGCCCGGGCAGCATGGGCCTGAGAAAGGAAGCAGATAGCGGCTTCGAAGAAGTTCTCGGCTAGTGGCGTCCCCTGGAGACCTGAAAAAATGGGAAATGAATTAATTCTCCAGGCCGGCTTGGCATGCTCCCAGGAGTCAGCTTGCTACAGGGCTTTCTTCAGCAGGTGCAGAATAGGTGATAGGGGAGTTCCTTAATCCACGCCTTTCCAGCACCTCACAGGCGTACCGCATGTTCTTTGCTCCATGAGGTTTTGGTTTGTTCACTCAACACATCTTTCCAGGAACAGGACTCCTGACCCCAAACTGGGCAGGTCACCCCTGCTGTGCAATCTCCCCCGAGCCCAGTCCCGTCCCATTGACAATAAAAGTGCTCAGCTTCGTCACCAGGATCACTTCTTACCTGGAGAAGTGTCAAGGATCCTGGCCATCATCAAGCCCAGCGTGGTAACGTTGGCTGCTAGAACAAGGCGATCTCTCTGGGGCAGCAGAGCAGGGAGAGACTTCAGCAGCGCATCCATCAGGGAGGAAAAGCATCTGTCTCGCCTAGAGAGAAAACCAACCCAGAGAGATGTGCGCTGAGCGGAGCCGGAAGCACCCAGAGGTGCCAGGCTTAACCCCGAGGCAGGGAAGCAACACTGTCACAGTGGGAAAGTCCCAATCCTAAACCCTGGAGTCCTGGGCAAACCGGATGCATGTTTTACAGCAAAGTTGGTGCCAGAAAGTGGCTGTAATCAGGACTCCAGAGGGCGGTGACAACTCTAATTCTTTCTCTCAGTGATGTCCCAAACGATCACACTCCTGTTACAGGTCAAAAGGCAATTTCTTTCCGTCCTCGCACCACAAACTGCACCTGGGCCCTGAGGTGCCATCAGAGCTCTTTCTACCTCAGAATCACCCTGCTCATTGTCTATGATGTGGAAGGAAGAACAAACTCTGGCTTGTCCCAGTGGCTGGGTCTGGTCTGCAGGGCTAACACGAGCCCACGCCTGTTGGTGGCTGACCTGATTCACACATGCAGAATGTAGAAACCTGAGTAATGAGGCACCCTTCTAAAAAATCCCTTTTGGACGAGGTCTGCATTTTGAGGACCCAACTCCTTGCCCAGAAGGGCTGGATTCAGCTTTCTCTAATGCAGCTCAAAGCACTGGGCAGCGTAGCGCTAGAGCAGCCGAAGGGAAACCCTAGCTCTGTCACATGCCTCCAGCCTGACCTGAGAGTGAAATTCAGTGCCATGGCACATGGAGTTCTGGCCTCTCTTCTGAGCCTGCCAGTGGGGAGCCAATTAGTGACATGCTGGGAACTAGCCTGAAACCCACCAAACTCCTCTCTCCTGGCACCTTCTTTCTTCTTACTAAAGATCTTAAAACAAGTGGATTCCTGCAGTTCCAGGTTTGTTACCTGACCAAGTCTGGAGCGGTCACCACAAGGTTAAGGAAAACTCCACAGGTGGTTTGCAAACTGATTTCTATGCTGTCTGGAGGAGCAGAGGTCTGGGGGTCAGAGGCCAACAACTCCCACTGGTGCAGGAAATATTGACACAGCAATGCTGGAGCCCCCTCTGAGATAAGGATTTCCCGAGGTCGGTCCTCTGCCGTCAAATGGCACAAGCCAGGTAGCAGAAATCTGGAGAGGGGACGGGGTGGGAAATACAGTAAAGGAGATGCAGTTAGCTGGTTACAGGCTGACATTTCAATCTGTTAAAAACAAAATGAGTGCATGGGAGAATGGAACATAGGAATGATCAGACTGGATCAACCCACAGGCTATCTAATCCAGTGTCCTGTCTCCAATAGGCTGCTTCAGAATAACATGCAAGAAATCTCACAGCAGGCAGATGTGGGAAATCTGCTCCTAGGACGGTCTCACCCTAACACCTAATAGCTAAGCTCTGATGCAGGAGGTTCTGGAACCCTTCCAGAACTCTTTGCTGCATTAACCGTTACAACTCTGGCTAGTCTCGTTATCGGCATAATCAATCAATCCATCCCGGAATCTTACAAAGGGAGTTCCAACTGCCTCGAACAGCAAACGAGGAATCCATGTATACCGCTGAACTACAGTCAAGCTGTGAAACACAAGGCTAGAAGCCTGGTGTGTGCACTGCAGTGCCGTCCAGGAGACCCAGGTTCAACTCCCTGTCCTGGCCCCTCGCAGTCACAGACTGGCTGGAAGTACTGTCAAGTTTATGGCATTCTGCCGAAGGTCCCCATCCCTGTGTGCTACTTGATCTCCAAGTGCTAGGATCACACCAGCAGGATTATTCAGCTCAGAAAGAAAAGGTGCTTTGAGACTACAGTGGCATGTTCTGTACAAACCCTACGACTGAAAGAGTGGGGTTAACAAGAGTGAAAAATACAAAATCTGATCGGCCCCCTTTGCTTTGAACAAGGGGACACTGGAAATGAATGGCTGGGAAGTTTAGTACAAAAGGAATGCTAGTTCCCACTGAATGCAGTCAACCTGGGGAACACTATGTTGCAGGAGGGGATGAAATCAAATATTGTGGCAGGACTCCTAAAAACATATGAATGATGATCTTCTGCAGTTCTGCTAAGACAAGAAGTGTCAGCTCTCATGCTCCAAGATATTGGCTGTTGCCCTGGGGCTCAAGAAGGGATTTCTCTAGCCACCTCATGCAGAGTTGCACAAGTACATAGATGTATTATGGGCTTTTTCCTTCCTCTGAGACATCAGCTGTGGGCTGCTGCTGGAAGCAGGATACAGATTTGATGGCCCCACAGTCTGATGTGAGCTAGGTTTCTGTGCCAAGATGTAGGAGTACCTCAGGCAGCAGCATAACTGTGTCTATCCTGTGCTTGAGATACTCACCTTAGAGCGTCTCTGGGCCACACAGAGCCCTGAGGGCTGCCCAGTCCAGCCAGCTCCGCCGCATGCTGGGATGGGCTCCTGGCTTTGTCCCCCTCTTGGAAAAGCGTCTTTGCGTACTGAATGAGGAAAGGCAGGAGGTCACAGATTTCCTGCTTGAGGGAGGAGGTCTCTTCAGCCAGCCAGGCGCCGAGGATTCGAACAGAGGCAAATATGAAAGGATCCTTCAGCTTCTGCTCTCCCACCTGCCCAGGGAACAAAACAGGCATAAGATGACGCTGCAGAGGGGAGCTCAGGGAGCAGAGGCTTTTCCCCATTTCAGCCTCCCCTATGAAGTGAGGCAGGAAACCCTGGATGGCCCTTCCCCTCGGCGCTGAGCAGTTAGTAAAGGACAGGAAAACACTGCAGGAACAGCTGGGCTCTGCAGCTCACTCCAGTGAGGTAAACTGATAAACGCATTTCAATTGAGACATACTTCCTTTCAGCGTTAAGTCTTGACACTCCCCCGAAAGCTAGCGAACTGGGCCACCTTGCCCTTCAGCTACACAGGGAATGAAAATTACACTGCTCCTAGGTCCAGGACTTGCTGTATTCAGTCCTGGACCAGAGTCAGCACTGCTAGACCAATGGACCAGGGACAGGTTTACAATCTCCTGGGATTTCTGATGCTAGAAAGCATTGATTCCTGATTCTGGCTGGTCTCTAGACAGCAGCTGACAAATATCTTTTTCCTTTGCAGGGAAAATGGTATCACCAATATGAGGATGATCACAGTGTTCATGATTCTGAATGTCTCGTGACCTGTCAGATCTGAAAACACTTTGAGAAGACCAGTACAGATGTTTTTGGAATCAGTGAGAACTGTTCCAAGCGTCTGGGTGATGGGAACAGGGAGCAGAAAGGAGCACTTGGGGAGGGGATTATGTCAGATAGGGAAGCTGGGGATACAGCTTTTAAACTACACAGAAGAAAACAAAAACACGTAGAGGCCAAAGCAAACTCTCCCTGACTTCCATGAAAACAGGCATGGGCCTGTGTGCATTTGGGATCTCCCAAAACCCAGCAACAGCGAGATCTCCCAGTGACTGACCCCACAAGGCAGGCATGCCAGGGAGGGGGGCTATTTCCAGTCATAGCTTTACCTGTCTCAGGTAGTGTATTACAGCCCCAAATGCCTCCTCCATGATTCTCACTAGTTGCAATTTCTGCGCCTCCCTCAGCCGCGGTTTCTCTTCTTTCATGCACTCCAGGATCCCCAGCTCAATAAAGGTGTAACAGCCTGTTACCACCTCCTGCTTCCCATCCACATCTGCCGGGTCCAGCTCCTCCAGGGACAGACGGACCTCCACACAGGCCAGGTTCACCAGCAGGGCCAGGAACTTGCTCCCGGCCCTCTCCGTTGGAATCCATTCTGAGCCACAGGCCTGGGTGAGGCAGGCAGCAAGCTTCAGTGCAGGGTCTCGCTGGGACTGGCTCAGTTTGCTGCTCAGGATGCTAGCCAGGCCTCTGTAAAGGTTGCAGAGGCACTCGGAACCCTGTCGGTCCCGGGCGAGCAGCAGCGCTGGAGATACAAAGTGAGGCAGAACATCACACAGCTGGAATTTGGTCATGTCTTCAGCCTGGTGGAATTCCTCACTGAGCCTGCTCAGCACAGCCATGAGGTCAGGGGTGGCTCTCTGCCAGCACTTAGTCTCTGCTATGGCTAGAAGCCCCAGGAGCAGCTCAAGGGCGCGGTCACAGCCGTAATTGCGATTCACGTAGGCCTGGCACAGAGCTGACACGGTTCCCTGGGATACCAACTCTTTGGGGCCCCTGGGAGTGCCCATGACAGCGCCCAGACACTGGTAAACGTCATCGATCATGGAGCTCGCGGACAGATCATCTGGATCAGATGGGGAAGCCAGGATGTTGTTGAAGGTCGGGATTTTGTTAAGGATCTGGGAATGGCTGGCTAACTCCGAATCAGTGCAGAAACATGCCAGCAGAGTGAGGCCAAGTCCTCGGAACATGTGCTCTGGACAGCCAGTTGGGGGCTCCCTGGAAGCAAGAAGCCGGTTTGGGAACGTGAATCCAACTGCATCAAAGATCCGGCGACGGGTTCTGGAGTCGACATCTCCCGCTCTGACCGCTTTGGTCACCTGCCAGACAAACCAGGGATCTGTGAGCAGCACAAGCGCACGGGCAGAGGCCTTGCTAGGAGCTCTTTGCAGGGCGGAGCAGTTAAAAAAAGAGACCAGAGGAACTCGTTCATTTATACAGTGAATATACCCCAACCATCCAGCTGCCCCCAGATCTGCACAGCAGCCTGGGCACCTGGACAAAAGGTACAGCTGTGAACACTCACAGCATCTTCCAGCTGAGCATCTCCGAGTGCTCTGCTAACACCCATTAACTCTCACAACAACCCCATGGGGACGTGTTTTACCCCCATTTTACAAACAGGAAGGTCAAGGCATAGAGATTTGGAGGAACTTGCCCAAAGTCTCATTGCAGGTCAGTGGCAGAACTGGAAATAGAACCCAGGAATCCTGACTCCCAGTCCCCTGCACTAACAATTCTCCCTGCAGGGACATCTAACCGATGGTGGCTGTTCCTACGTTTGTTTCTGAAGTGGCTGCACTCTATTGTGCCAGCCGGAAATGGACTCTTACCAAGAGCAGGGCTGCAAACTGCTCACTGTCATGTTTTGCGTCTCTGAGCACACTCAGGCACCGCTCCAGCGTTGCATTCCTTGTGCTTTCACTGGCCTCGGGAGAAGCTCCTGAATGGGAAGTCATGATGCCAAGTCCACCTGTGAACACAGAAAGGCAGCGTTTACCAGACCAGAAAGCACTGGGATGGGATGGGGCTGCCAGTCCCAATGGAGAAATCTGGTATGATGGAGAGACGCTCTAAGTAAGAAGAAGAGTCAGAGGGGAACGTGACCGAGATGTTTAAGATCACTATGAACTAATGAGAGCCCCGTCATCACCCTGCCCCATAATCAGAGAACAAGGATTAAATTAATCACAAAAAGATCTAAAAGAAAAGGAAAATGTCCCTGCCCATGTGCTCAGTCTGTAGAATTCCCCACTGCAGACGGTCAGCATCTCAAATGCAGTGGCTGGATTTGAAAAGGAGCTGGGTTATTTTATGGCCCATAATAAAATCTGTAGTCATGTCAGCTACCATAAGGGTAATCAAACATCAGGCTTCAGGGCATAAGCTGATGAATGTAGGAATCAGGAAGGAATCTGCAGCATGGTAAAATTGGCCAGGTGTTATGGTTGTTGCTTTGTGCATTTATTTGAAGTATCAAATATTGATCACTGCCAGATCAATGGACTGATTTGGACTACATGGTCTATTCTTATTTAAATAAAGAGAGAAGAAATTATTAAAAACCATTTCAAACTAAGGGATGCCAACTTTTGCTCATTTCGAACCAAATTTATTTCTAGCTTAAATTGTAGGGTGGCGCCTTTCTCAAATGCGTATTCCACGCAGGCTGCTGGCAGCTTTCTTTTGTTTGGATAATTACATACCAGCAAGCTTCCTTAATTATAGTACGTATTCGAGTGGCTGGACTCAAGAATCTGTCATCAGCATTTCCATTACAAACCACAGTTTCAGAGAAGTTTATTACTCGGCTATAAACATTTGTTCCAGGCTCAAACATGGTACAGTGCTTCCAAACCCACACATGAAAAAAGCTTTTAAACCAAATTTGGTTTAAATTGTTGAGGCTATTTTAAAATTACAGAAACACTAGACAAATAGAAAACAAGAGTGTGGATATTTTGTATGCGTGCTTCCACTGCTCAACAACAAACTTTGTTTTTTCACAAGGATATTTTGCAGAGTTGGATTCTTTTTGGCATTTCACATCAAAACAGCCACAATATTTGGGGGATGAAATCTGTGATTGTACCCGAGTCACTTTGCATAAAGCTTTTTAAATAGCCATTTGGTATTATGGTACCACAATATGTAAATCAGCATATACTAACATGAATGTGTATTTGCATATTACAGATGTACCTCCTGAGTCATAAATCTGCCTATTAGACTAAATGAAGGAGTCCTGAAACTACATATTACTGGAAGCCTGACTAAATTAAAGTGTGTGGATGGGTGAGAGAGTGCTAGTTTTAGCAGTTACATTTCCAGAGCTCCTCTCCCTCTGGAACAATGCGCATCACTTTATAAACTATTATATAGACATCATCCACCACAGAAATGCAGCCACCTCTGGGATGGCAGGCAGCCAGCGTTTCACAGTGCGCAGCAATGCTATAGAACTGTGTCATGGTAGTAGGTGAATCCAAACCAAGGGGGTGACATTGTGAGAGGCCATAAAACAATTGCCTGTGTTGAAATTAGACCAGCTCTAAGGATCTTAATATGCACAAGTAGCCAGGGCCTCGGCTTCGTGTCCCCCCAGAACGGTGGCACTCCCAGCAGCACAGAGTCCCTTGCCCCATCCAGCACAGATTCAGAGGGGAAGGCTGTGCCATGACATGCCAACACCACGTCCTGCAACCCCTGGATCTCCTGCACAATGCAAGTTTGGGCATCACGACCCAAGGCTTTATGCATCGCCATGTGGCGGCATTTCCCAGGGCCCTATTAGTGGGCTTCTGGGAGTCAGTTGCCTTGTTAAAAGACTGGGGCACGACCCCCCAAAAAACTGTAGGGGTGGGTAGAAAGAGTGACCAAGCTTGACTGTCTGGTGAGATGGGCTCCTGTCCCTGGGGGTATCCTGCCTGTCCTCCCCCCATCCAGATGTGCCTGTCAACTCGCTTACATACCATGCCCCCCATTCATCCCCCAGGCCCTGGCCAGCCCCCACCGGGATCTGGTCTCAGAGGGGGCTGACTCAGAGGCTCCCTCCACTCCCCCAAAGTTCCCCTCATTCACAGCTATGAGAGCCTGAACACGCTGCCCTCACATCAGCGCCGGCACCAGGGCCCTCACCTCACAACCTTCAGCCTCTCCCTCCAGCCAATCAACGAGCCCCACGCTCCCGCTCTAGCCAATCGCGTGCTGGATTGTTAGGCGGCGGGTGATGCAGCCGCCGCCATGCCGAATATGGGCAAAGTCCGGCGGTAGGACTCCCCCGCCGCTCTCCGCAGGCAAGATGGTCCCGCGAGGCCCTTTCCTAACCGGGCGGCTCCTACGGGGCAGAGGCGGCAAGGCCACGCTAGAGACACAGAAACCACCGCTCTCCGGCGTAGCCGCGTCTGTTTCCGCTTCCGGGTACTTGTGGGGGTGAGGTTGTCTTTCCGGGTCAGAGGTGAACGAGTGCCCGCCCCCCGCCTGCTGCTGAGTGAAGCCGAGAGAAGGAGCCCAGTGCACGCCCAGCTCCTCGGGGATCTCCCCGGCCCCAGGCCCCCCATGGAAGCGGGGGAGGAGGCTGCGCGGCCCGCCGGCGAGAGGCGCTGGAGGCCTGAGCCCCCCCTGCCCTGCGGGGAGCGGCGCGGGTGAGGGCGCGGGGGCCGCGCCTGGGGCTCTCGGCGTCCCGCGCGGCAGCCCCGGGCCCGGGCCCCAGCGAGAGAGCCGCCCCTGGAGCTCCCCGGTCATGTGCCCGTGGTAGGTACTGGCTTGTTAGGAGAGCCGCCGTCCGCGTGCTCGGCGCTGCGCAGAGCCAGTGGCCGGGAGTTCCGCAGGTAGTGGCTGCTGGGCTCGCTCCGCCCCGGCACCGCTGCGCCCCCTCCCGCCCCCGGCTGGCCGGGTTGGGCTGGGGGCCGTTTCAGTTGGAACTTGGCGGTGGGAGAAAGGCTGCGGGACTTGGGCTCGCCTCCGAGCGGCTCGGGCGCTGATCGCACCGGTTCTGGGCCGCCTGGGGTGCTAGCCCCGGGGATGCGTTGCCAGTCTGAACGCTGAAGTATTATTTTTTTAGTCGGAGTTCTTCAGTATAAAACGGCTAAAGGGATGTGCCTGAGATTAACTCTTTCCAGGACAAACGAATAGTGTCAGTGTCAACTGATCAGCTCCCCAGAGCTCTCCTTTGACTCTCCATTTTTTTCAGGAAATTATTTTCTTCTGTACAAAGCCAAGCTGGCTTTCGCATTCCTAAGAGTCAGGAAGGTATGCTATCTAGAGCTGCATGCAGGCGAGAGGGAAAAAGAGCAAACATTTGTTTTGTTTCCCTTCTCAGTTTGGGGTGGGGGAGAAAGCACTGCAAGTGAGATAATTTCAGGCTTATTCGGAGAAGTGTTATATTTTATTCAATGTGTGTGTTACTTTATTTTGTACAACAACTTTAGGATGTACTGTTCCTAAATTGTGTACAATTGCATAGTAGAAGGAAAAAAACAAATCAAGAGACCTAGTAATGGGATAAAGACTGTCAGATGAAAGTAGACACTGTAGGTATTTTCATTATTGAACTCAGTGTCTGTGTACCAGTGTGACTGCCCAGACAAAGCTCACATAGTAATGTTTTGTAAAGTGTTATGTTTTATTTTATTATCCTCTTTCATCTGTTAAGAATAAGTTGCAGTTACAAACGCTCCCTGAAACATAACATTTTAAATACATATGCAAGGCAATGTATACAATTACAAGCAAAATATATGCTTTAAAAGGTCATCTATTCAGTGTGTTTACTAGGTTGTCCGAGTTGTTACTTTAAAAAAAAAAAATCCTGATTACTCAGACTGAATGTCTCATTTCACTGCTGTTACGATGCTGATCAAACACACTTTATTGCTGTGTACACGAACAGACTGCTACGTAGCTTGCAGACCGGATTATGACACATCTTCATCGATCTAAAGACGTTTTAAGTAAACATTGTCCCGTGATCCATGCAGAAAGCTGCAGCAGCAGAAATGGAATTTTTGGTTTTGGCTGTGCTTGTAACACGCAGGACAGAAGTGTTGCAAACTTTCTTAGCTTCCTAATGGTTAAGTCCCCTCCCTCCAGCTCCCTTTTCCCATTAGTTACCTTGTGAAATTTTGTTGTCATAAACTATGTTGGCATCAACAAGAATTATCTATTGTCCATATTCCTGTCTGCTGCTATCGGCCAGAATTCTCTCCCTAATTCTATAGAAATTTCCTTAAGAATATACTGATACTCAGCTCTATAATAATGATGATTATACTACTGAATCTCATCTGAGGAATTCAAGGTGGCTTACAGACATAAACTACATAAGCATCACAATACCCATATTCTGCCTTGTAAGGTAGATATTTGATATTATATTTTAGATCATTAACTTTTCATGTCATTCACATTTCTGAGCAATACATCTGATAGTTTCTTCCATTGATTTGGACTTTGATAACATATGATGTTATGAAAGGACTTGAGTGACAGATCTCTTCAGAGCTAGGTAATGTTACATCTGGACTCTTATTCTCAGTCTGAGAATGAGGCTAGTCAGGGATCGGAAGGAAAACTGGTCAAACTCCAGTTATAACTTGTTTTTTGTTTTGATGCCGCCCTCGTTCTTGGCACAGGTGAGACCTGGAAATTCAAAAAGATTGAACTTCTGGTTTGACCATTAGTGCCATCATCTGTGTCCTTAGAAGCAAAATTGGCTTTTAATTGGCTGTTTTATCAATGCTGCTGAACTTTGGTCTGTCTTTGTTTCTGGCTGGTACCAGCCAGCACAAATAGCCAAGTGATGACATTTTGTGCTGCCCGCCTGGCAGATGTGCTGGGCTTATTGGTGTTTGTCTTATCCAAGCAGCTCTGGCTGGGTTTCAGCTGCATGTTGCAGATTCGAAAGGGAAGTTTCCAGAGTGCGCGCACAGAATCAAATGGATTATAATGATGCAATTGGGGATTTTGCTTTTCATGCTTCAAAGATGTAAGTGATGGTGTCTAAAGGGCTTGTGAAGGAAAACCAAATTTCTTGACTTACTGCAGTACAAACACAAGAAACGAAGAGCTTTTCTGCTACTGTTGGTTTCATTTCAGATCTCTCATAATACTGGCAATTACTTCTCTGCAGTTGCTCTGAGTCATGATAGATAAGATTGAACACTCCTTTCCTCCCCCAACTTCTTTAGTGCTTTCACCTTGTCAGCTTCATGAAGAACCACCTATAAATTGTTTGGTGCATGATTTCTCTTTCTTGTGTGTTTATAGAGTCCTGGTTCTGCCCACGAAGGCCATGGAGAAGAGGTTGGAAGCCAAGTTCAGCATTAGCTTCTGGATTTTATCAGGACGTTGCCTGGGAAGTTTTCACCTGTTCTACATGATGTGCCTGCCTCTGTGCCCTCTCTTCATCTACAGGTGAGTATTCAGTTCTCTCTCTGAGCTATTTCTGTGCCTCAGTCTAGATTTAGCCCCTTGATTCATTTTAAATGTTTGAAGGGTGGGGTGTGTGAAATCTGTTAATTACCAGCCAGACATCCTAGCTAGTGAAATAGCCAAAAAACAACAACCCCAAAAACAACCCAGACGCAAGTACCTGTGAGGAAGGGGGGGTTAACCACTGGTCTTCCTAGCAAAGTATGTCCCTAAACTGTTAGAAAGGTAGGCTGACCAACACATTTTGTAGTAAAATGGTGATTTTACTAACCCTTTCTACAGCACTATTTTATTACTCTAAGGGCTTGTCTACAATTAAAACGCTACAGCAACACAGCTGATCCACTGCAGCACTTCAGTGTAGACGCTACCTATACTGACTGGAAGGGTTCTCCCTTTTGGCATAGGTAATCCACCTTCCCAAAATGTGGTAGTTAGGTTGACGGTAAGAATTCTTCCATTGACTAGCACTGTCTACATGGGGACTTAGGTCAGTTTAACATCACTGCTCAAAAGGGTGAATTTCTCACTCCCCTCACCAAAGTATTTAAGCCAACCTAATTTTCTAGTGTAGACCTGGCCTAAGATGACAGTGCTGCTGACCTGATAATCTTTTAAATAAGGTAGTCAGTAGCAATCTCTCTGTAGCTCCCAGGCTACTAACAAAATTCTCCTTCAACCTGAAAAAAAAATTCTGTTCTCCACCTAGCTCATATGCATATGTGTGTCTGTCTTGCTCAGAGTTAAGAATCTTTTCCAAAAGAGAGGAGAAATGATACGGTGCAGAATCCCTTCATTTGATTCTGGGTTGAAAGCCAAAAAAGTTGGTTAACCTTGTAATGCTTAAAATCTCCACAAAGACAGTAAATAAATTCAGTGACCTGAATTTACTTATAGAATCTAAGCAATGTAAGTTTGGAAGGGACCTCCAGAAGGTATCAGGTCCCACCCCCTGTATTAAGGCAGAACCAAACATACCTCGATCATCCCTGACCGTTGTTTGTCCAGCCTATTCTTAAAAACCTCCAGTGGCGGGCATTCTACAACTTCTATGGAAGCCTATTCCAGTACTTAACTATCCTTGTAGTTAGAAAGTTTTCCCTATAATCTAACCAAAGGCTCCCTTTCTGCAGATTAAGCCCATTACTGTTTGTCCTACCTTCAGTGGACAGGGAGAACAAGATCGCTCCCCTCTTTATAACAGCCCTTAACTTATTTGAAGACTGTGATCAGCTCCCACTTCAGTCTTCTTTTCTCTAGAGTAAACATGCCCAGTTTTTTTAACCTTTCCTCATAGGTCAGGTTTTCTAAACCTTTTATCATTTTTGTTTCTCTCCTGTGGACTCTCTTCAGTTTGTCCACATCTTTCCTGAAGCGTGGCACCCATATTGGACCCAGTATTCTAGCTGAGGTCTCATCAGCTGCCAAGTAGAACAGGACAATTCCCTTCCTTGTCCTACATCTAACGCTACTGATAATACATCCCAGAACTATATTAGCTTTTTTTGCACCTGCATCACATTGTTGGCTCATGTTCAATTTGTGAACCACTATAACCCCCAGAACCTTTTCTGCAGCTCTGCCACCTGGCCAGTTATTCCTATTTTGTAGTTGTGCATTTGATTTTTTTTTTCCTTCCTAAGTGAAATATTTTGCACTTAACCTTATTGAATTTCATTTTGTTGATTTCAGACCAGTTTCTAATTTGTCAAGGTCATTTTGAATATTAATCCTGTTCTCCAAAGTACTTGCAGTCCCTCCCAGCTTGGTGTCATCTGTGAATTTTATAGGCGAACTCTCCACTCCACTATCCAAGTCATTAATAAAAATATTGAACAGTACCTGACCTAGGACTGATCCTTGGGGGACCCCATTAGATACGCCCTCCCAGTTTGATAGTAAACCATTGATAACTACTCTTTGAGTATGGTATTTCAATCAGTTGTGCACCAATCTTATAGTAATTTTATCTAGATCATATTTCACTATTCTG